GTACCTCTGGTATAGGCACCAACCCCTGCCTTCCTGAATTCACCTTATGGACTGGTTTCTCTAAAGCACAGCTCTTACTTCGTCCCTCCTTTGTTCAAATTTCTGTGTTTTCCAGCTGTAAGACAAAGCCCAAACTACAGACTGAAGGCTGTATGTCAAGGACCTCCACGATATATCTAGTTTCAGCTTACCTTTACAATCATATTTCCTATCACAATTCAATCTAACTAAACTATTTTGTATCTTTAGCCTTTCCTCCAAGCTACAAATTGTAACAGATGCCTATCTGAAAACTCTTGGATGTCTTAAAAACACTGTAAACTCTGTTCTACCAAAACTGAACTCATTGTTATTCATCCAAAATCTAGCCGAGGTAATCCCTATATCATATAAGCCAGATACCTAGGAGTCATCCTGAGCACCTCCCTCTTCCTCCCCGCTATTTCAAATCTATTGCCAAGTCCTGTAGATTTTATTTCCTAAATTTATTCTAAATTTCTCCCCATCTCTTTTACTACATACTTCCTAATACTCATATTTCTAAGGTCCCCCTCCAACCTGTTCTCCATTCTTAAGTTTGAATAACCTCTAAAAAATGGAAAAATATCACATCACCAATCCCCACACTCCTAACCCCCTTTTGCTTACAATTTAAAATGGCTTCCTTTTGTTTGGCCCCAGTCCACCTCTTCCATCTTTCTCAAACGTGCCTCACTTTTGCTGTCTATGCTCCAGCCACATTGATTATTTTCTGTCCCTCATACTCATCAGGTTCCCTCCTGGAAGGCTCTTCTCTCTCTCTGGCCTATTTATCCTTATCATTCAGGTCTCAGTTCATGCATTATTTCCTCAGAGAAAGCCTTCCCTGACCTCCCTACTTAGTTCAAATTCTCCATTACTGACATTCAGAGCATCATGTATCCATCCTTCGTAGGACTTAACACAAATGCAATTTTACAACTGTGTGACTATTTGATTAATACCCACTTCCCTGCACTAGATTGTAAGTGCCATATGGCAAGGCATCCATAAGAGTCTGTATCTGTTTTTATTCACCATTGCATCTGCAAAACTGAGCATAGTGCCTAACATTCATATTTTTTTAAATAAAAATATATGCTGTACAAACCCTCTGCTTTCCATTGCCTTGCTTTTGTTCAGGGTGCTTCCTCTTAGTAAAATGTTCACATTCTCCCCATCTTTAAAGTTCAGCTCAAATACAATCTCAACCCCAAACCTTCTACAATCATCCACTCAACTTGTAAATCTCTTTCAGTAAACTTCTAGTATATATATATTTTTACATCTCTAACAGTTAGCAACAATTTCTACCATTTCTAACTAATAACCACTAGTTATTTCTATACATTTTTTTCTCCTCTACTAGACTGAGGACTTCCCTACTAGGCTATATGACTCCTTCTGAATTAATCTTTTATCTTCAAGATATTCAAGAAAAGTCCTGCAGTATCTGAATGTACATGTGATTAGTACAGGTCTATAATACCTATAGTGCAAGTAGTACAAAGGCATACAAAGTATTAAAAACTTATGAAACCTAAAATATCTCTTGAAGGATACAGAAGAAATAGGTAACATAGGTTGCCTCCAACCTGGATGGTGGTGGTATAAGGACAAAAGGAAGACATTTTGCTTTACATCACTTTGCTTCTTTTGAATCATGTATTCTTCACATGAATTACATTATCTATTACATATTATTATATGAATCTTGAATCATGTGAACATGACTATTACAGACCAATTACAAAAATGTCTTAATTTAAAATAAGTAAAAACAATAAACTTTATGGAAAAGTAAAAAATAAGACTCATGAAATCTACACGTTTATCAGGCACAGTAAGACAAAACTGCAATCTACTGCACTCTACTATATGAATTACAAATAGTATCCATTGAGAATCTACCATGTACAAATACTGTCCTTGCAAATTAACATTATTTCATTTAATAGAAAAACAACTTGACAGTTGACATATTAAAAAGCGATATTCCTTATCTTATTAAACTAAAACCTGTTTTATTACAGAAGAATACATTTTACATCTATTTCACATGGAGAAAAAATTTACTCCTTATTCTGGGCCCACTGGCAGTCTAGCATTAAAAAGGTATGTTTTCCCTTTTTAGTTGTTAATGTATTTTTATGTTTACCATATTCTAGGTCAGACTTTATCCTGTCTCATATATGCTCTTGGTGACTGCTATTCTGAAGAGCTGTCTCCATCCAAACTGAACCCAAGTTTAAGGCCTTTTATTTATATTGCTTGAAGAATCCTCTCAGTCCTACCATTATCTGCTACTTGACATTTTTACTTGCATATGAAAGCAAGACTAATCACAAGAATCTGGCAGGGGAAAAAAGGCAGCAAAAATGGAATCAGCATGTTAGATGACAAATAGAACATAAGAGACACAACACCAAGGTGGAACTACGAAAAAGGTGGCAAGGAAGTAGCCAATAATAGTGGGACATGGCAGTATTATGACTGTTAAGTGGTGCCGATGGGAGGATGTTCTATTAAAGCCTCTATGTTGAAAGTCAGCACGATGCCTTGGACCACACTCATTTATAAGCCTGTAACATAGTGGAGGGAATTAAAGAGTGCTTGGGCAAAAATAAAGAAAAGATGATTATAAATCAGAGCTTGGAAAAGGTGCGGTGAAAGCAAAGATCTGAGAAACTAAGCCGATGTTAAGGCAGCCAAGGTGATTTAATAAAGGGCAGGGAGAAAAATAGGATGAGAGTATTGAAACCTACAACAATGAGGTGGTCTGTTTTTAAGGGTAAAGGCTGTGCAAAGTAGAATGAGTGACGGAAAACAGGGATGGGAAACCACCTGGCCCTTCAAAAAGTGTATCGCGGAAGTGGGGTGGGTTAAGGACCAGAACTTCAACCCAAAGAGAAGAGGATCTTCATGGCGCGGGGAGGTAAGGTAAGGTAAGGTATTGACTGGAGCGGTGGAAAGGCGGGATGGTGAGGCGAGGCTTCCGACTCAAAAGCTTAGCTGAGAAGCACTGAGAGCGGCCCGGACAAGCGGGACCGGGGGCAGCGGCGTGGCGCGGGGGTCCCTCACCTTGGCCTTGTAGCTCGGCAGGTTGCAGAGGATGTCCGTGCGCAAAGCCTCCTCTGCCAAGCTGCGGGCGCACAGGCTCCGCCACACCTCGCTGTTCTCATCGCCGTGCAGGCAGCGGTACCAGTGCTTGCACACCAGGGCGCAGCTCCGCAGCTCGGACAGCTCCAGGTAGGAGAACACCAACTCCAGCACCCGGCTGGGCAGCCGGCCCCCGGCCCCAGCGGCCCCGGAGCCGGCGCCCGCGCCGCCGCCACCGCTACAGCCAGCGCCTCCCGAGGCTGCCCCAGCCCCCGGGGCCGGCGCCGCCATCGCCTCAACAGCCGGCCCGAGGGCCGCTGCCGCCGCCGCCGCCGCTTCCCCCCGTCTCTGCTCCGGAGGCCAAGCCTCGCCTTGAGATCGGAGCAGTTCGCTCACCGCCCCTTTCACAGACTACCGTCCGGCCCCTCCACCACTCCCGCCCCTGCCCGGGGGCGTCCGCCACGCGCCCCGCCTCACTGAGGGCAGACGCACCGGCCGCACGGGCGTCCCCCGCCCCTCCCCCGCGGCTCAGCGCGGGCGCCGGAACGGCCCGACTCGCACGGCCTCCCGGCGGCGCGCCCGTGCCTCCGCCATGCGGGTTGAGGGCACGAAGCAAGGGCGCACGCCCAGCTCGCGCGGTTCCTCTCCGCCCCGGATGTGACTGTTTGGCTGAGGCGCCTCCCCCCACTACGCTAGATGGGATTGGGCGCCCACGGGTGAGGTCATCACCAGGCGCCTAGGAGAGAAGCTGGAAGCGCAGGTATGAGGCTATCGCCGGTGGGTTCCGGGCTATCCTCCGGTGCCTTTTCCCTTTTTTAATCTAGTGGTTTCGCGTCGGCTTTTCTGGACCACTTTTCCTATAAGTTTTCGCTGAGTCATTTGGGTCCCTGCTTCATCTTTCCAATCTAACGCATGAAATTTCTGTCTCCTTATTAGCCAGTCCTTCGGCAGGTGAGGTCGTGTTTTTCTGGTCAGGCCCTCTTGTTCTCCCTTAGTACCAGTGCTTATCAGAACGTGTGTCCCAGCGTGTATACAGCATGTGAGGTCGCCACATTTGAACACCTTCCCCACCCCCCCACCCCCCAGTGTTTGGATCACCTTAAAGTGCCATTTAAGTGCTTATTAAGTGCTACCTTCTTTTGGACAAAATGTGGCTTTTCCTAGTCTTTCCTACTAACCCACGATTGGTAGGCGAATTAAAGCAGTGTGTTTTTAACTAATGAGACATTCCAATAGGGAGACTGACATGGAGGCTATAATTATAGAAGGCTTCTTGGAAGGGAAAGAGTTTCATCATTATTTAGTCATATTGCGTTTTCCTAGGTGGCCAGAACGTTTTCTGACAGCCTTTAAAGAATGCTTGGTACGAGAAAATAATATCTATCATGTGAGCCAGGCAACCGACTGAGGCCCTTTACAGGGGTGTTTATATAACTCTCTAAACAACTATGAGATAATTATTATAATAATAGGTTTCACAGATTCCTTTAGTAGTCAATTCTATTGTCTTGCCTTTACGTAGTAAGGAATCTTTCCAAAAGCTCCCTTGCTGTGTATAGTCAATTTCTTGTTCTCCAGTAAAAACAAAAGAACAGCACCTACCATCTCTACTCTCTGATGGGTGGTGTTTGGTTATTACTTGCCAGTCCCTTCTTCCCAGATGTTTTTTCCTCCAAGCTTAGTAACCCAGATACTTTTCATTCCTACTAGTGCCAGTGCCACAGCCCTTCAGCCTCTTCGGTTGCTATCTAGCTTCTCCACATCGAGACCAACTTTGGAAAACTCAAACATGTCAAGAAAAGTTGACCTATACTTATTACAGTGATAGTGACTATCACATTATTTAGATGTCAGGCTTCGGAGTTTTATTCATTTTTCAGCTTTCAGCCATCAAAGGAAGACGGTCCAAGATTTGTCTGGAAAGGCACTGAAGTTTCTTTTACAGCTTCAAGGATAAGTAGAGTCAGTCCATCCAAGAAGGGGACAAAGAACAGACAGAATGAATAGCTTTAAAGGCACAGACACTTGAAAAGGACAAATGGATACATGGAGGTATGACAGGAGTAAGTGTTTAGAGTAGAGAGCATTCAGTTATTAAAGACATTGCCCTCTATCCTGTCTGCCATGGTGTGAGGTAGAGCCTTTGAAGGATCTGATGAAATAATTCTGGCGCATCTTGTCCACTCAGTGAGGTGACTGTTTGTGGCAAAGTACCCCCCAAGTGGCCCAGGTAGGATTTCAAAGTAGGAAAAGATTTCCTTTATCACTACCTCCTTTTCTTTCTTGCCTGCTCATCACCCTCCTGATCATGTCCCCTCCGCCATGTTCAGTACCCTTTTTCTACCCTCTCACTGTTTAGAACTTCCATCTTTGCACTGCACCCTTTATAAAAATGTTCTCATAGTACCCCACCTTCCTCGCCCCCTCTCACTCCATGATCTCATTAGGTGTAAGAAGGAAGGAATCCAGTATCTAATTAAACTAATTCACACTGGGATATGATTAATTACTGTGCTTGACCCTTTAGTCATCTGCCTAAGAGAAAAGCTAGTTGACTTGATACCTGAGTGTGGGGATAGTGGCACTTAGCTATTTCCAGGTAGGCTTTCCAGTCCCAGTAAAAGAAAAACAAGAAACAGTGGCTTGCCAACTCATTTCTGAAAGATTATTTTGATATAACCCATACGTAATTTTTCCCACTACCTCGTACCGCAGCAGTCTGATTGTTTAACACTTTTTGATGGTGATCTTCGAATGTGTTTCAAATAATAACAAATAATTTTAATTTTGTAGACTAAGTAAACAGGTGATCTGGGGGACTCTCGTTGAATCCCTGATCAATACTCTGCATGATAAAATTAAAAGCCTCAGAATGTATGGATTTCTGGGGCTTTCCCAACTCTTTTTCCTAACATTCCACATAATAGGTCTCTATTTTAATTTTTCTGACTAGCTAGGTGATCGGTGAATATCATCCATGTGGTGTAGAGATTAGAAGTTTAATTTGCTCTTTACTCTGGTGCATAGAGATTAAGGTAGAGCTGACCTTGGACTTGTGAGAGTAATAGTCCAAGAGTTACTACTGCTTCCATTATGGAAAAATTTACAGGAACTGTGGCGTTGTCTATAATAGTCTCTTTAAGTACAAAATTCGTTTATTGCCTAACTTCTCACACTTTGGGGTGAATTTAACCAAATGTATCTTTAAAATTGAATTAATCTTTTCTGGAAAAGAGTTATATTAGGAAGAAAACCTGCTAAAACTTTTGTCTGCTAGTCAGCATTTCCTTAGGTCCCTTGTGAGTAGATTTGTGATGGAGAAATAGAAGTACTAGAAACCCTGCCTCATTCTTGTCTTAGCAAAAACCTAACATATCCCAACAGGGATCCAAAACCTATATGGACACAAAATCCTAAAGCTGTAGGGGGCAGACTTCTGGACTTTAAAGTTAATTCATTGTAGAAAAATTAAAACTCTGACTTAGGAAATAAGTGGTCAATACCCTAAAGATTCATGACAGAGTTAAATAAAACTATTTGTAACTTTTCAGTGATTAATTCAAATTTCATATTTTAAGGTAGGATATTGTATTTATCATATAAGTCAATAGTCACCACAAATGACAGTTCCTAAGCCTAAATAATATTAATACCTTTCATTTTAAATTGTGTTAAGTGTCCTTTTTCCTTGGTTTATCTGGAACATTTGGCAAAAGTCTTTGTTATTTAACTACTATTTCAGTACTTGTTGGCAAAAATCAAACCACCAGAGTTCCCTGTCTTTATCTCCCTTTGAGTTATTTCCTCTCCAAACCTCTCCTTTAAAACTTGTTTCACTCTCTATTTAATTAGTTTCCTCTGTTTACTAGTTGAGTGCTTCTGCTGAAATTTAAAAATGTATCTTTTTGTCTTTTTTCCATTTTATCTGTATGAAAATTGCTGATTTTGTGATCTTGTTTCTGTTACTTCGATTACTATTAGATTGGTGATTTTTTGCAGTCTAGTTAGTGATTTTGTTTGTGTGTGTGGCTAAAAGTGGAGGAAATAACCTTTGTGTTGGGAATAGAAATTTTAGGCAGATCATCAGATTATTTTAAAATTATTTTCAAAACAATTTTAGGAAATTTATCTCTGTACAATTGAACTAAATTCAGGTATTGTATCTGAAAATAGTAAAGCAACTATGGCAGTTTCTTACTAGATAAATTCTCCCTTGTCTTGTGGAATGAAAAATTAAATTTATCTAGATAGATTTGTTTGCTTCCTTTTGACCACTTAGAGTTGTAGAAATTGCCCCTATTTCCTTTTTCGCTTTGCACAGGAGGTAGTTACGAGAGGGGGTAGTATTATGTGGCAGTTACAATTATAGATACAGGCTGCCTAGCGTATCAGGAAACTAAATTTTGCACATAAGTACTAGTGTTATATAAGTTCAAGTAGGTGATAATGTGATTAAAAATATGTGAATATATTTAGAAGCAGTAATGAATTATTAGCAGCTTTCTAATGATCGTTTTCTGCACTTTCAAAGAATACTAACAAGTTAAACCTGTTGTCAAGTAGAATTGTTAGAAAAAGGTCTTCATTGTTTAGAAGTTTAGGATCCCTTTATATTAGATCCCAAGTACAAATCCTAAGAGCCAGGTGACTTTGGAAAAATTATTTAACATTTCTGAGACTCAGTTTTATTACCTGTAAAATGGAATAATATTTACCAATCAGAAGTGTTGTTTTGAGAATAAAATTAAATAATGTACTGAATTAGTCTCCGATGGTAAGACCCAGGGGTTTGCATTTTTAACCAGTTCCCCTGAGGATTACTGGTGTAGTACAGGTTCTCAAATTCTAGCATACATCAGAATCACCTGGAGGGCTTGTTAAAACACATTGCTGGGGGCTTCTCTGGTGGCGCAGTGGTTGAGAGTCCTCCTGCCATTGCAGGGGACACGGGTTCGTGCCCCAGTCCGGGAAGATCCCACATGCCGCGGAGCGGCTGGGCCTGTGAGCCATGGCCGCTGAGCCTGTGCATCTGGAGCCTGTGCTCCGCAACGGGAGAGGCCGCAGCAGTGAGGGGCCCGCGTACTGCAAAAACAAAACAAAACAAAACAAAAAACACATTGCTGGGTGCCAACCCCAGAGTTTTGATTCAGTGGGTCTAGAGTGGGGTCCAACAATTTATATTTCTAACAAGTTCCTAGGTGATGCTAATGCTCCTGGAGACTATACTTTGAGGACCATTTGTGTAGTATATATGATGCCACTTTGACTAGCCTAATAAAAGTAAGAAAAGTGACAGTGGTAATATTTGTTGAGCCCTCATTATGTACCAGGCACTGTTATATGTGCTTGACATTTATTATGTCATTTAATCCGATCTGATCCTGTGAAATGGATGTTATTATTACCCCCATTTTATCGAGAATGAAAGTGAATTATAGAGAGATTCAGTAATGTGCCCAGAGTTGCCCAGCTGATAGGTAATAGAGCTATTCAAACCCAGAGAGTCTAGTTCTAGGGCTCATTCTCTATAAACATTATTCAGATAAAGGATATAACCTGATGATTGTGCAGCCCTTTCTTAAAAAGGATTTTTCTTAATTTAAAATAAATATATTTATTGTTTATTCTTATGTGAGCCTCACATCAAAGGCTGGAGGACCAGGCTTACCTGTGCCTCTGATTGCAAGGAAAGCCCATGTAGGCATGTGCCAGCCAGGTGCACCACAATCTTGTGTTCAACTAGGCTTTGTAGGCTTGATCTTCAAATGTCTTTTTTTATTGATTGAGTTTTTTAGATGTCTTTTAATATTTAAATGAAATACTGCTTATTGAATATGTCTCTCATGAAGTTCTTAGATAAAACACGAGATTATAATTTTTCCCCCTTCTTCACAGAGTCATCTGAGCCATTATGGCAGTCAAGTGGACTGGTGGACATTTTTCTCCTGTTCTCTGCCTGAATGCAAGTCAAGAAGGGCTAGTGGCTTCTGGAGCAGAAGGTGGAGATCTCATGGTTTGGGGTGAAGATGGGACTCCATTAGGACACACACGCTTCCAAGGGGCAGACGATGTTACCAGTGTCTTATTCGCTCCCTCCTGCCCCACCAAGCTCTATGCCTCACATGGAGAAACCATTAGCATACTGGATGTCAGGTCTCTCAAAGGATCCTTGGACGATTTTCATGCGAATGAAGAAGAAATCAACTGTGTTTCACTGAATGAAACTGAAAACCTTCTGGCTTCTGCTGATGACTCCGGAACAATCAAAATCCTAGACTTGGAAAATAAGAAAGTTAGCAGATCACTGAAGAGACATTCCAATATCTGTTCTTCTGTAGCTTTTCGGCCTCAAAGACCTCAGAGCCTGGTGTCATGTGGACTGGATATGCAGGTGATGTCTTGCAGAGAGTACTTGGGTAATTTCTAGATGCGATTTGGTAACAGAATCAAATTATTAATTGGGCTAAATATATCTTTCCATTTTCTATTCTCTACTAACATGTCTTATGTATTTTATGAACCATAAGCTTTACTTCTACTGCATGTTTAATGCTAACTTGACAAAGTTTAGTAGATTTTATTCACAGAGTAATTATTAATCTTTTACTGTTCCTTTCTCTATGCTTTAAGACATTCCTAAAACATGAGAATTCAAATATTTGATTCTAAACATCTGTTTAAACAAAGTCATGCTAAAGTCAGAGTTTATCACCCACTCTCTACAAAGTCTGTTGTTTAAAAAAAAAAAAAGTTGGAGGGCCTGGATCTATTATTGTTTTTACTCTAAAAATCACTGGAGTGAGAATAGTCATGGCTTCTCTTTGGTGAGCATTTACTACTTCCCACTGCTTTACATTTACTACTTCCCACTGCTTCATTGTTTAGGGGCTCCCCCAGCACTGTTCTAGGCATTTAATCTACATTCCCAACTATATATTAGTATCTTCTAAGACTTGTGGCCACTTCTTGGCCAGTGGTCTTTACCATTCCCTCCTCTACCCTCCACACCTCCTTATAATTTAGAAATAATGAGGCTAATTTTAGTTGTTGTCACTATGACTGCCAGCCCCTCCCCACAAACTACTGGCATTTAGTAGGAAGAATTGGTAGTTGTCCTGCAGTGCTGGGGCAGCCCCTAAACAATAAAGAATTGTCCGACCAAAAATTTGTAGTGCCTCTATTGAGAATCATTTATACCTACAAGGCATAGTGACCCCATAACCTCTGAACTCCTTTTCTACTCCTAGGTCTTGTCCAAAACTTTAATAAACCTCCTATATTTTCTATCCTAGTGGAGATAATCTGCTTACTTGGTTAGGCAGAAAGACCTACACAACCAGTCAGATACCTGTCTTAAGTAGGCAGATTGTACAGTGTCTCTTTGACTAGTCATTCTTTCATCCTTAAGCTATACCAGTTTTCAATCACTGGTTCATTAACTACTAGGCATGGCAATAAACAATTAGGTGTGCAGCAATCACAGATTAGATAAGAAGCAGGCACCCAGAATTTACCATTTTACCTCCAGTTCTAGATGAGAATGTTTAGTGGCAGGCAGCTGCTAGAGAACAGTATAGGAAATAAATGTTTTGTGAGAAGAAGGCTTAGGTAATTGCTTTTTTTTTTCTTTTTTTTTGGTAATTGCATTTTGATTTGACTGTCAAGAATTGCTAAAAATACACTGTAGATTAACTTCTGCATTGGGTTGTGATGTAACAACAGTGGCTAAGATAATACAGCCACACTTTTAAAAAATTACTTCTTTAACTGACGTTGAAACTATAATTTCTTCCAATTTATCAGTATTTCTTAAAACCTGGTTATCTGGTATTTTTCTAAACCTTAAGAATAGCTAGTCTATGGGGGAGTCCAAGAATGTAGGCATAATAGTGGAAGGGAGTTCTTATCAGATTAATGATGAGTTATTTCTCTCTGAACAAGTGTGTTTTATCTCAAGGCAGGAACTGAATTATTGCCATATAAAATAGATGGGTTCAACACACCTATCTTTGTTATTATACAAATTATAAAAATTATACCCTTTGATTTAGATAGGTTTAAATAGGCAGTGCGGGCTTCCTTGGTGGTACAGTGGTTAAGAATCCGCCTGCCAATGCAGGGGACATGGGTTTGAGCCCTGGTCCAGGAAGATCCCACATGCCGTGGAACAACTAAGCACATGCACCTCAACTAATGAGCCTGCGCTCTAGAGCCCAAGAGCCACAACTACTGAGCCCGTGTGCCTAGAGCCTGTGCTCTTCAAGAAGAGAAGCCACTGCAATGAGAAGCCCGCGCACTGCAACGAAGAGCAGCCCCCGCTCACCGCAGCTAGAGAAAACCCGTGTGCAGCAACAAAGACCCAATGCAGCCATAAATAAATAAATAAAATTTTATAAATAAATAAAATTAAATAGACAATGCTTACTCAAAGAGGCAGGGACCTTAAGAATGAAGTATGATTTATTAAGTCACTTGAGACTGCTTAATCTTTTATTAAATAGGCCCAAAATAATATTCATAATATATGTATAAGGTATAAAAAATAACATTAAACAAATACATGTGTACCACCACTCAAATATAGTTTTTTCTTATAAGGACCTTTGGAAATTTGAAGCCATCATGAATTTCTGTAGCATACACATTGGTTTTCTTTCTCTCTTATTTCCACATTTGAAAATAAATGGTTCAAAGGTTTGTTCTTTCTGGAGTTTGAAAGATCTCTAGTACAGAACTTAAGGACTGGGACAGTAGAGGAGCCTTTTTTTTTTACCCCCTTGAAAATGAATCTTTTATGTGGAAAGAAATGTTTTTGTAGGAGAAATTTTTGAGCAGGGTCACTTTGATATGCTTGCATTCACTTCTGAACATTTGCCAGTTGTCCACTTTCTCTCCCTTTGACGTTTTATTAGACCTTAAGCCCTGAACGCTTCTATACTTTTCCTTCAAATCAATTTTCTTTAATATTCTTTTCCTTTAATACCTTACCTCTCTTGCTTAGGGTGATACTGCTTGATCAGGTGGTTGAGAAATTGTGAGATACCTTGGACTCTTGGGCAGTTAGGAAGAGTAAAGAAGTACAAAGGGAATGTCCAGGCAGGAACAATTTGGGAATCTTCAACACTTGGAAATGACTGCTGGGTTGGTACAATTTGAAATGGCTATTAACACGTTTAGATGATTTAAGTAAATACAAAAATGTTTAAGCTGCTGAAAACACTTTGGGTGTAGTTCATGTTTGGATGTCTTAGGGCAGAAAATATAATCCAGGCATTATGGGGCTATGTGAAAAAGAATTTGGGGATACCTGCCATACAGTTAAGCTAGTATATTTTGGAATGTCCATTTTCCTTGTGTTCAGGTTTTTTATAGAGATTGTTGCCATGTCAAGTTTTTTTTTTTTTTTTTGGCTGCGTTGGGGCTTCGTTGCTGCACACGGGCTTTCCCTGGTTGCAGTGAGTAGGGGCTACTGTTGGTTGCAGTGTGCGGGCTTCTCATTGCAGTGGCTTCTCTTGTTGCGGAGCACGGGCTCTAAGCGCGCAGGCTACAGTAGTCGTGGCACACAGACTCTAGAGTGCAGGCTCAGTAGTTGTGGTGCACAGGCTTAGCTGTTCCGTGGCATGTGGGATCTTACCGGAACAGGGATCAAACCCACATCCCCTGCATTGGCAGGTGGATTCTTAACCACTGTGCCACTAGGGAATTCCCTCAAGTTTTATTACTCATTCATTTTTGTTATATTTTCTGATTTTTAAAATTTTACTTTATTTCAATTTATTAGTATTTTGGCTTCACCCATATGTATAACAATTGGTGGCCTCTTGGTATAATGTTATAAATCCAATCCAAAGAGATTTTCAGTGTTTTCCCTAGTATAAGCAGAATATAACTGTTACCAGATGTTGCTTCTTTTGAAAGTAGGCCGAGTTAAAGGAAGTTACCTTGAATAGAAAACCAAATCCTTAATATAATCAACAGTAGTAATCTTGTCAATTCAGATCTGTGCTTTTGACTAAAGAAGGTCATGCTTATCCTAGTGTCCATTTTAAATTGTGAGTCATAATTCAGGGATAGTACTAGGGGGTAAAATACAGCTGTCTGTTTTCTCTGAAAGTATGAAGAATATTTTCTTTTTCAAATTGGTTGCTATGGGAAAAAAATTGCTAGATAATAGAGTAAAATCAGTTCACAGAGTTTATTGTTTTGTTTTAAACAGTTTTTAATTAGCATTTAATTTAAATTCGCTTAGTAGGTCCAAGATCATGGTAGGGAACAAGAACAAAAAGCTAAGTAAAATTGAAACTGTGATTAAAAATCTTCCAAAAAACAAAAGCCCAGGACCAGATGGCTTCACAGGTGAATTCTATCAAACATTTAGAGAAGAGCTAGCACCTATCCTCAAACTCTTCCAAAATATAGCAGAGAGAGGAACACTCCCAAATTCCTTCTACGAGGCCACCATCACCTTGATACCAAAACCAGACAAGGATGTCAAAAAGAAAGAAAACTACAGGCCAATACCACTGATGAACATAGATGCAAAAATCCTCAACAAAATACTAGCAAACAGAATCCAGCAGCACATTAAAAGGATCATACACCATGATCAAGTGGGGTTTATTCCAGGAATGCAAGGATTCTTCAATATACGCAAATCTATCAATGTGATAAACCATATTAACAAATTGAAGGAGAAAAACCATATGATCATCTCAATAGATGCAGAGAAAGCTTTTGACAAAATTCAACACCCATTTATGATAAAAACCCTGCAGAAAGTAGGCATAGAGGGAACTTTCCTCAACATAATAAGGCCATATATGACAAGCCCACAGCCAACATCATTCTCAATGGTGAAAAACTGAAAGCATTTCCACTAAGATCAGGAACAAGATAAGGTTGCCCACTCTCACCACTCTTATTCAACGTAGTTTTGGAAGTTTTAGCCACAGCAATCAGAGAAGAAAAGGAAATAAAAGGAATCCAAATAGGAAAAGAAGAAGTAAAGCTGTCACTGTTTGCAGATGACATGATACTATACATAGAGAATCCTAAAGATGCTACCAGAAAACTACTAGAGCTAATCAATGAATTTGGTAAAGTAGCAGGATACAAACTTAATGCACAGAAATCTCTCGCATTCCTACACACTAATGATGAAAAATCTGAAAGTGAAATCAAGAAAACACTCCCATTTACCACTGCAACAAAAAGAATAAAATATCTAGGAATAAACCTACCTAAGGAGACAAAAGACCTGTATGCAGAAAATTATAAGACACTGATGAAAGAAATTAAAGATGATACAAATAGATGGAGAGATATACCATGTTCTTGGATTGGAAGAATCAACATTGTGAAAATGACTCTACTACCCAAAGCAATCTATAGATTCAATGCAATCCCTATCAAACTACCACTGGCATTTATCACAGAACTAGAACAAAAAATTTCACAATTTGTATGGAAACACAAAAGACCCCGAACAGCCAAAGCAATCTTGAGAACGAAAAACGGAGCTGGAAGAATCAGGCTCCCTGACTTCAGACTATACTACAAAGCTACAGTAATCAAGACAGTATGGCACAGAAACATAGAACAATGAAACAGGATAGAAAGCCCAGAGATAAACCCACGCACATATGGTCACCTTATCTTTGATAAAGGAGGTGTGAATGTACAGTGGAGAAAGGACAGCCTCTTCAATAAGTGGTGCTGGGAAAACTGGACAGGTACATGTAAAAGTATGAGATTAGATCACTCGCTAACACCATACACAAAAATAAGCTCAAAATGGATTAAAGACCTAAATGTAAGGCCAGAAACGATCAAACTCTTAGAGGAAAACATAGGCAGAACACTCTATGACATAAATCACAGCAAGATCCTTTTTGACCCACCTCCTAGAGAAATGGAAATAAAAACAAAAATAAACAAATGGGACCTAATGAAACTTCAAAGCTTTTGCACAGCAAAGGAAACCATAAACAAGAGCAAAAGACAACCCTCAGAATGGGAGAAAATATTTGCAAATGAAGCAACTGACAAAGGATTAATTTCCAAAATTTACAAGCAGCTCATGCAGCTCAATAACAAAAAAACAAACAACCCAATCCAAAAATGGGCAGAAGACCTAAATAGACGTTTCTCCAAAGAAGATATACAGACTGCCAACAAACCCATGAAAGAATGCTCAACATTAATCATTAGAGAAATGCAAATCAAAACTACAATGAGATATCATCTCACACTGGTCAGAAAGGCCATCATCAAAACATCTAGAAACAATAAATGCTGGAGAGGGTGTGGAGAAAAGGGAACACTCTTGCACTGCTGGTGGGAATGTGAATTGGTTCAGCCACTATGGAGAACAATATGGAGGTTCCTTAAAAAACTACAAATAGAACTACCATATGACCCAGCAATCCCACTACTGGGCATATACCCTGAGAAAACCAAAATTCAAAAAGAGTCACGTACCAAAATGTTCATTGCAGCTCTATTTACAATATCCTGGAGATGGAAACAACCTAAGTGCCCATCATCGGATGAATGGCTAAAGAAGATGTGGCACATATATACAATGGAATATTACTCAGCTATGAAAAGAAACGAAATTGAGCTATTTGTGATGAGGTGGATAGACCTAGAGTCTGTCATACAGAGTGAAGTAAGTCAGAAAGAGAAAGACAAATACCATATGCTAACACATATATATGGAATTTAAGAAAAAAAAATGTCATGAAGAACCTAGGAGTAAGACAGGAATAAAGACACAGACCTACTGGAGAATGGACTTGAGGATATGGGGGGGGGGGAAGGGTGAGCTGTGACAAAGCGAGAGAGAGGCATGGACATATATACACTATCAAACGTAAGGTAGATAGCTAGTGGGAAGCAGCCGCATAGCACAGGGATATCAGCTCGGTGCTTTGTGACCGCCTGGAGGGGTGGGATAGGGAGGGTGGGAGGGAAGGAGACACAAGAGGGAAGAGATATGGGAACATATGTATATGTATAACTGATTCACTTTGTTATAAAGCAGAAACTAACACACCATTGTAAAGCAATTATATCCCAATAAAGATGTTAAAAAAAAAAAAAAAAGCTAAGTATACCAGGATGTCAAATTAGTCAACAGACTTGTTTAGAATTTCTGCTCTTTTCTCCAGGTACTATGCTAGGCATTAGCAAAGATGAATTAAATCTCAAGAAACTGAAAAGCTAGTAGTATATGTCAATTAATAGAACAGGGATTAAATATGGGAAAGAGAGAAGGGGGCTGGAATAGTTAGGAAAGCCTTCCTAGAGGGACACAATTTGAGCTATGCCCCTAGGATGAGTAATTTGGGTAATGTGAAAGGAAAGGAAAAGCATTCCAGATAAAAATGATTTCAGTGGTATTCTAGTTTAGTTTATTTAGTTGATAGGTATTTTTACTTTAACAAGCATAGACGAAAATTAATAAATTTCATAATCTTCAATTTTACCTGCAGAGATCAGGGTAGAATGACTCAAAGAAACTGGCATCTGCTTAAGAATTTAGATTACACTTTAATGGGTTTGTTAATCGAAAGTTACTCAGGATCTTGTTTTCTAAATTCTATCTTCCTTACTGCCCATTGGCATTCTAGTTTTGGCACCAGGGTTGCATCCCACTAGCATGTCGTGGTGCCATCTGAATTTTTTTCTTTTTAATATTGCTGGAAATGTATCCTACTAATCATTCTCAGACTACTTTGATGATTTTGTTAGAAGTGGAATAAGCATGTTAGTTAAACAAACTGACTAGAACCGTAACTATGTAACTTCCTCTTATTTAAAGGTGATGCTGTGGAACCTTCAGAAAGCCCGGCCGCTCTGGATTACAAATTTGCAGGAGGATGAAACAGAAGAAATGGAAGACCCACAATCACCTGGTCAGCTTTTAAACCCTGCCCTAGCCCACTCTGTGTCTGTGGCATCGTGTGGCAATATTTTTAGTTGTGGTGCAGAAGATGGTAAGATTCGAATCTTTAGGGTGATGGGAGTCAAGTGTGAACAGGAACTGGGATTTAAGGGCCACACCTTAGGGGTATCCCATGTCTGCTTTCTGCCAGAATCCTATTTGCTGCTTACTGGAGGGAATGATGGGAAGATAATGTTGTGGGATATAAGCAGTGAAGTTGAGAAAAAACAGAAGAGTCCTATAAAACATACCCACAAGAAGAAAACCAAAAGGGCAGCTTATACCAAGCAGGGTGGAAACACTCATGCTTCAGTAGCAGGTGAAGATGAACATGGCAAAATTTTACCAAAGTTAAGTATTGAACATGGAGAAAAAGTGAACTGGCTCTTGGGTACAAAAATAAAGGGATACCAAAATATATTGGTAGCTGACCAAACTAATTGTATATCTGTATATCCTTTAAAAGAATTTTAAATCCAATAAAACATTTGAAAAACTGCAGAACTTTTTATGGGTTAAAAAAAATCCTGATTCTTTGTTTGAACTATTTGTCATATGTGGAAATAATACCATTCCATCATATAAATTTTAAAACATTTGAGCAAAAGGAGATAATTGGGTAACACTTGTTATAGTAAATGACATATTAAAATTTGGAGAATGAGAACTAATATTCACTGAGTACTGCTTGTGTACCAGCCATTTTACATGTTTCCTTTCTTATTCCAAATCAGTGAAGTGGGTTACTTTGTTCATTTTTTGCCACAGGAATCAAAGACTCAGAGATGTTAAGTAACTTGAGGATCCAAGAAAATTGCAGGCACGATTACTTACCTGCAAAGGATCTTCATTGTCTTGTCAAGCCTCCTGCCATAGGGAAGCCCACATCCTGATCCAAATATGGTCACCACATTAGTTATAACATTAGTAATTTCTGATCCTAGGATGTCATGAGGAACTTTACCAAGTTGAAAGAGGAAACCTGTTCTTGCTTGTTCTGTGTAAAGCCCAGAAGGCTTTGCTGACAATCACCTTTTGCCATTTCTAAGAAAAGTGTTCCAGGTCAAATCAGTTTAGGATATTACGAAGCAATCCAGGCTGTGATGCTGATGGGACCAAGAATAAGCTGAAGTTATGAATAAGAAGAAACTCTGACTAAGCAGAAGATGTAAGGTAGATAGAAGAAGTAGAGAAGAGAAGCCAAGACTGTGTAGAGAGTAAGTTTTCTTTTCATCATGCCCTGGATTGCTGATTTCTCTGCATGTCCTTTCAGCTTCTGCTTAAATTGCTTACTCTTAAATTCAGAGGTTTAAAGAGAGATTCTGATTGTTGGTTACCATTATCCTTGTTTGTGGAGAACTCTTTGATAAGCTCAATTTTAGTCAGAATGTTTGCTGCAGATGACAGAAACCAAACTCAAATTGACTTAAGGGAATAAAAAGGAATTTATTGGCTCATGTAACTGAGAAGTCCAAGGATAATCAGGCTTGTACTGCTGAGGTAGCTAAGCTGAAAGGATGTGAGTCTTATAGGTGCCTCACCTGTGAAAAGTCTTTCCTAGGGATGGAGTGAGAGAATCCTCACAGTAATGTTGAGCCTGGAACCAGCCATGCCTGAAACAAGTTATTTCTGGAGCCTTTTTTTTTTTTTAACTTGTGACTAAAAGTGTCCTGACCAATTAAGTGGGTGGTCAGTAAATATTGTTTAGTGATCTCACTTAAAATTTAAAGCAAGGAGAATACCATCTTGGCCCTAAAAAATTCATTGACAAGGACCTTGGCCTGAGTATTGACAGAAACAAGTTTCTAATCCCAGCAATGGGCAAAGTTCTTGGCCATTCTGGGCCTTGATTTCCTTTCTTGAAAGTGAAGGGTTGAATTAGACATCCCCTAAGGTCCTTTCCATGCCACTGTTTTATGAAATGAAAACATTGTCATAATACTGTGTTTATCCAGTGATTCTAATATTTATTAAAATGTCAGTAAAGACTAATTATCATGGGCAATCGCTGGAGATTAGAGGAATCTTTTGAAAAGTTACCCAAGTACAGCATCATCTTAGCTATTGAGCCTGAATAATGTTATGGGAACAAGGTAAGAAGTATTTAAACCAGGATTGATTTTTTTTTTTTATTGAAGTATAGTTGATTTAGTGTTGTGCCAGTCTCTGGTGTACAGCACAGTGACTCAGTTATACACATACATACATTCTTTCTTTCTATTCTTTTCCATTATGGTTTATCACAGGATATTGACTATAGTTTCCTGTGCTACACAGTACGACCTTATTGTTTATCCATGCTAAATGTAATAGTTTGCAACCCTAAACTCCCAGTCCGTCCCTCTCCCTCCCCCTAACCAGGATTGAAACATTAGTTTTAAACTTTTTGTTGCTAATAATAGATACCCACTCAGACTGCCTAAGCAAAAAGGGAAATTTACTATGGGGAGTGGAGGAGAAGAATTCTCTCAACCCAGAACAGAAATGTCGCTTGGCTCTACGTTTCTAACCGGGGAAATCTCTAACCAGGGAAGCCATCAAGAACCAAAGCAGCTACCCTTTCTGTCTCTCTGAGTTCCTGTGGTCACTTGTCTCTGCTTCTTTCTGCATAGTGCCTTTCACCTGACAAAAGATGGCCTTCCAGGGCTACATCAGCAACCCATTTCAATTCCAGAAGCTGAGTAGTGTCTAAGTTCCAAGGCCCTGAAGAGAATCTGATTGGTCTAACTTCGTCAAGTGCCTAGCTCTGATCCAATCAGCTCTGATCAGGGGGGTGTTGTCATTTAGTATCAACATTGCCAATGGGGCCCCCATAGGTGGGGAGGTAGTTCTCAGGGAAGGGGAGTATGGGCTGAACTAATAGTCCCCAAAGATCTACAACCAACAATTGAGATTTTGGCAGATTTACAGTGTGAAAATTATATGCAAAATGAACCCTTCTTGGGTCAGCCATTTTACTACAGTTTGACTTTCAATTTTCAAACAATAAGATACACCCAGATTACTTTAGTTAATGAGAGTTTGAAGAATGGTAAAGTAAGCAAAATAAAGTGCCTCAGCCTGGGCTTACAGAGAATCAGGGTACCATTTTGGTTTTGGGGTTTTGGGGGGTGGGTTTGTTTGTTTTTTACCACACCATGCAGGATCTTAGTTCCCTGACCAGGGATTGAACCTGCACCCCCTGTGCAGTGGAAGCACAGAGTCTTAACCAGTGGACTGCCAGGGAAGTCCCAGGATACTATTTTGAATATTCTTAGCTCGATTAGTCAGCTGGCCCCTCAGATAACTGAGTAAGAACTTAAGTGGCCTCGCTTTAGAAGTGGGCATCCAATGTCCCCAATCTATAGAAGGCTGAAAATGTGCCCCAAAGATATCAGGTTCTAATCCCTGGAACCTGTAAATGTTACTTTATTTGGTAAAAGGATCTTTGTAGATATAAGTTACAAATAGTAAAGGATTATGTTAAAGGAACATAATTGTATACTTACCTTTATACTTTATTAGAGTGTAAGATGCTTGGGGGCAAGGATCTGCCTTTTGAGTTTCAGAGCTTGTGGTTTGGCCTGACCTGAACCACCCAGCTCACACAAAAAAAATCATCATTAAATCTTAAATGAATCAAGGGAAGTCCAGAAGGTGAAAATGTTAAGAGATGTGGATAGAACAAAATAACAATAAAGGTCAACCTGAAGGGAGCTAGTAGCAGGGTTGCCTGGCAACCAGATTGAACCCTTTCTTTGTAATGCTTCAGGTTATTTTTAACACCAGCTATCAGGACTAAACATGGCTCTCCCAACCAGTGCTCAATTCACAAACACCCAGACATGCTCATCATTTCACATTTGATGTTCTCTCCAAATTACAATCAGTTGTGCTCCAGGATAGACAATCCTGAGGCTGATGCAGTGCCCACCCAGTTGCTTCTCCCTTCCAAGAGCAGAAATACCTTCAGGATTAATCAGTCACCCTCTGGCAGAATTATGTATAATCCTGATGCCTTAACCTATGAATAGCTCTCCCATGACCTCAGTTTTCCTATTTACATGCAAAGAATTAATGAAAAACAGAGTACTATACTGCACATGTGCTGTGTGTGTGTATTTGGTTTTCTGAACTATTTGAAAGTGAGATACCATGACACTTGACCTCAAAATACATCAGCATGCATCTCCTAAAAAGGATACTTTTATATATAACCATAGTACTGATCTCATACCCAAGAAACTTAGCAATAATTCACATTCTTGCCCTTAGCCAGCCAATTGTGACTAATATCGTCCTTACTGCACTGAAGTCTGGTGGTGAGAGAGGGTGGCAGCCAGAACTGCAGAAGATGGGTCCCTCAGCCATGGGCAGGGCTTATGGAAATGAGAGGGAACAAGAAGGACCTTGTGGCTTAGTCTGGGGTCTGAACAGAGATAGGTGTCCCTTGTAGCCAACCCTCTTCCCGTGGCACATCCCCAGTGGGGAACACTGCCCCTTCCTCTGGGCTAAGGTTCATTTTAGAGACTAAGTTGTCAGGCAAAAGGGACATTGTTGAAGAGTGAGGACATGAGTCTCAACTGGAGTGAACAAAATACCCTATCACCAACACCACCTGGGCCATACTCCAACTAGAGAAAGAGGATTTAATCTAGGCCCAGTAGAGGACATGGGAGAAATTCAGAACAACCCTCATATACCTGGAGAGAGCCCCTGCCATACCCTCGTATCCTTGGTGGAGGAAAGGACTGGGCTGGGGTTTAACAGAGCCTCCATCAGGTCTTCTTCTCTATAGCCATAAAAAACGCTTAAGGAGAGTGACCCAAAGTTCACTTGAGCATGATTTTCCTATAATCATTCTAGGCAATGAATGAAGAAGCATCCAGAGCATGCAGTGATCAAGTATCAATAAAAACAATTCTTACTGGGACTTCCCTGGTGGCACAGTGGTTAAGAATCTGCCTGCCAATTCAGGGGAGACGGGTTCAATCCCTCGTATGGGAAGATCCCACATGCTGCAGAGCAACTAAGCCCATGCGCCACAACTACTGAGCCTGCATTCTAGAGCCCAAGAGCCACAACTACTGAGCCCATGCACAACTACTGAGCCCACGTGCTGCAACTACTGAAGCCAATGTTCTCTAGGGTCTGTGTGCCACATCTACTGAGCCCACATGCTACAACTACTGAAGCCCACACCCCGCAACAAGAGAAGCCACTGCAATGAGAAGCCCATGCAATGCAATGAAGAGTAGCCCCCGCTTGCCACAACTAGAGAGCCCGCGTGCAGCAACAAAGACCGAACGTAGCCAAAAAACAAAACCCAAGAAAACCCCAATTCTTAACTGACTTATAAATGTTGACACAACAGGTCACAAATAGGTAGCAACCTGAAAATTGAATGCATTTTTCTGTTATGAACAAGATGGTTAAACATGTTACAAACCAATGTGTGGCTAGATAAATGCAAATGTTAATATTTTATTAAAAATTAAGATATAAAAGTCTCAACTAAAAGACTGTTGATTCTACTCAATAAAATCAGTAAAGTTGAAGTGTATAAAGTGAATACACAGAAATGAGTTGCTTTTCTATACACCAATAGTGAAACATCTGAAAAGGAATAAAACTATCCTATTCACAATAGGATCAAAACAATAAAATGGGGCTTCCCTGGTGGCGCACTGCTTGAGAGTCCGCCTGCCCATGCAGGGGACATGGGTTCGTGCCCCGGTCCGGGAAGATCCCACATGCCGTGGGGCGGCTGGGCCCGTGAGCCATGGCCGCTGGGCCTGCATGTCCGGAGCCTGTGCTCCACAACGGGAGAGGCCACAACAGTGAGAGGCCCGCATACTGCAAAAAAAAAAGCAAAACAAAACAATAAAATACCTAAGAATCAATAAACCAAAAAAGTGAAAGATCTGTAAAATGAAAACTACAAGACCTTGCTTAAAGAAATCGAAGAAGACAAACAAATGGAAGGACACGTGTCCGCATGGAATGGAAGAGTTAATATTGTTAAAATGAACATGCTACACACAGCCATCTGTAGATTCAATGTAATCCCTATCAAACTTTCAATGGCATTTTTCAAATAGAGAAAAAATAATCCTAAGATGTATATGGCACCACAAAAAAACCCAAATAGCTAAGGCAATCCTGAGAAAGAAAAACAAAGCCACCACACATCCTGATATGGGACTACACAATAAAGCTATAGTAATTAAACGAGTATGGTACTGGCATAAAAATGGACACACAGACCAATGGAAGAAAATAGTGCAGAATTAAACTTCCACATATATGGTCAGCTATTACTTGATAAGTGAGCTGGGAACATCAGGTTGGGATAGGATAGTTTCTTCAGCAAATGGTGTTGGGAAACCTGGATAACCACATGCAGAAAAATGAAATTTTACCCCTATCTTACACTACTCATAAAAACCAACTTGAAATTAACTTGAAAGACTTAAACATAAGACCTGAAACCATAAAGACTTAAACAGAAGACCTCCTCACCAGGAGGGAGGAAGCTCCTCAATATCAGTATTCACAATGGTTTTTTGGACCAAAACCACAAACAACAAAAGAAAACACAGTGGGACTCCATCAAATTTAAAAGCTTCCACACAGAGGGCAGACAGCAGAAGAAGAACTACAATCCTGCAGCCTGTGGAACAAAAACCAAATTCACAGAAAGACAGACAAGATGAAAAGGGCTATGTACCAGACGAAGGAACAAGATAAAACCCCAGAAAAACAACTAAATGAAGTGGAGATAGGCAACCTTCCA